TTTTTTTTTTTTTTTTTTTTTTTTTTTTTTTTTTTTTTTTTTTTTTTTTTTTTTTTTTTGTGTTTGTTTACTTTTTTTGTTTTTACAAAATTATAGTGTGGAGCTGGAATTCATATACTACCTGGTCTGCCTGCTGGTGTGAAATTTGACCCTACGGATCAAGAGATTCTCTTACATTTGGAGGGAAAAGTTGGGTGTGATGCTCACAAGCTTCATCCTTTGATCGATGAATTCATTCCCACCATTCAATGGGAGCATGGGATTTGCTATACACATCCCCAGAAATTGCCAGGTGATCCAAACCCATCCATTATTTTGCTACTAAAATCTTCAAAATTACCCAAAAAAATTAGTGATAATACATGTCTCAACCCATCGCTAGCAGATATTGTCTTCTTTGGGTTTTCCTTTTCGGGCTTTCTCTCAAGGTTTTTAAAACGCGTCTGATAGGGAGAGGTTTCCACACCCTTATGGGAAACACCCTCGTTCTCCTCCCCAACCGATGTGGGATCTCACAATCCACCCCCCCTTCAGGCCCCAGCGTCCTAGCTGGCACTCGTTCCTTTCTCCAATCGATATGGAACCCCTCCAAATCCACCCCTTCAAAGCCACCATCCTTACTGCCACACCGTCTCATGTCTACCCCCTTTGGGGAACAACCTCTTCGCTAGCACATCGCCCGATGTCTGGCTCTAATACCATTTGTAACGGCTCAGGCCCACCGCTAGCAGATATTGTCCTTTTTAGGCTTTCCCTCAAGGTTTTTAAAACGCATCTACTAGGGAGAGATTTCTACACTCATATAAAAGGTGTTTCATTCTCCTCCCTAACCAACGTGGGATCCCACAATATCTTTATCATATCAATGCAGGAGTAAGAAAAGATGGTCTGGTCCGGCACTTCTTCCACAGGCCATCCAAGGCGTACACAACAGGAACAAGGAAAAGAAGGAAAGTCCACGCCGACAACACCGAGGGCGAGGGCGAAACACGGTGGCACAAAACGGGCAAGACGAGGCCGGTTCTCGTGGGCGGGAGAGTAAAGGGTTACAAGAAGATCCTAGTGCTGTACACCAATTATGGGAAGCAAAAGAAGCCGGAGAAGACAAACTGGATAATGCATCAATACCATTTGGGAGGCAGTGAGGAAGAGAAAGATGGAGAACTCGTGGTCTCAAAAGTGTTCTACCAAACTCAGCCAAGGCAATGTGGAAACTCAGTGAAAAAGGATCATAATAGGCATCAAGATTCTAGTTCGTGTAATAATAATCCTAACCCACTTGTTGATTTCTATAACCCTTCTTTTGTATATTTTGAGTCAAGTGATCAAAATAGATCGGCAAGCAATTCCCATATGATTCCCCAGTTTGCAGTTCATGATGGGTCGTCTGCTGTTTCATGATTGCTGTTAATTATTGTTCTTGTTTGTATGAATAAATTTGGAGAAAGGTAACTGAGAAATACTGATGAATAAATTTGGAAGTGTATTTAAGAGGTGTTCTTGATGGGGGTTTGGTATCTGACAATCTTGTATGCTTTTGCCTAAAAAATTAAAGACCATTAGAATCTGTGATTTACTGTTCGGAGAAAGCTCATACTTTGCTTTCAATCTGAGCTAATGTTGAAACTGGCGTTGCTTAAAGGAATTTGAATCATTTTGCTTATATGAAATGCGCCATGAAAGAACGGTAATATCTCGATCGAAAGAGGTAATTCTCTTTCATCGATCGTTCATGTGAGATCCCACATTGGTTGGGGAGGAGAACAACGAAACATTCTTTATAAGGGTGTAGAATCCTCTCCCTAATATACGTGTTTTAAAAATCTTGAGGAAAAACTCGAAAGTGAAAGCCCAAAAGGGACAATATCTATCGGTGGTGATTCTTGTCCATTGATCGTAAGAAGTGATTCATATTTATTAACCTGATCTTACTGATTAAGAGTTCTGATCATCGTCTTTAGATGGGCAAAGAACCTTTACTAGAGAGGTGAAGGAGTAAGAGAAGAGAAAGAACAAAACACATATCGGAATAATCGAAATGGGTTGGTGAGGTAGTGAAAGGAAACCATCTAGCTTGATTTGGAAAGCACTTTTGGTTAAAAAGTATCTTTCTTTGCTGCTAATTATTAGCCACAAAAGGATTTCTTTCAGATCCTTTCTTTCTGTTTTTGCTAATTTAACCATCATCCAATATAATCAGATGTTGATGACAGTTAACATTTGGGAATCTTCCGTAGTAGAAATAGAAATAAATGGACAAATCATCGAACAATGTATAATTTCTATTTCAGCACTGAAAAATGAGATGAAGAACTACTGAAATCAGCACTTTAACAATTACCAAACAAAGTTCTGATGCGCCCACCCCACCCCAACCCAACGGAGCATCCGAGAAGACACCTATGTTATACCAGCAGACGGAGCAGATAATTAATCAAAAGAATGAGCCAAAATCGAACAAGCAAGGCACCCAATGCCGACCTAAGAAGGACGCTTGCGGGAGAGGGAAACTGGAAACAGAACTTGCGGCATACTCAATTGCTTGGCCACTGCCACTAAGATAACACACAAGACACCGAGCCTAACTAAAGATGATCGCAAATAGAGTCTGCTTTAGTCCGTTACGTATCGTCGTCAGCCTCACGATTTTAAAACGCATCTGCTAGGGAGAGGTTTCCACACCCTTATAAGAAATGATTTCTTCCTCCCTCCAACCAACCAATGTGGGATCTCACAATTCACCCCTCTTTAGGGGCCCAACATCCTTGCTGGCACATCGCCTAATGTCTGGCTCTGATACCATTTGTAATAGTTCAAGCCCACCGCTAGTAGGTATTGTCTGTTTTAGCCCATTACGTATCGTTGTTAGCCTAACAGGTTTAAAACGCGTCTCCTAGGGAGAGGTTTCCACACCCTTATAAGAAATGCTTCATCCCCCTCTCCAATTGATGTGAGCCAAACATTGTGAGATCTCACATCGGTTGAAGAGGAGAACGAAGCATTCCTTATAAGGGTGTGGAAACTTCTCCCTAACGTATTTTAAAACCGTGAGGCTGACGGCGATACATAATGGTCTAAAACAGACAATATCTACTAGCAGTGGGTTTTGACTGCTACAATGGATGTCCACAACTAGGAGGACTCTAAACCAAAAGAATACAATCAATCCAATAGCATACACCAAAGCTGATAATAACATTTAATGTCAAAACCCTGCTACAGAAATGGCTAACTCGGGGTCATGATTGAACTTCCCTGAAATCTATTCCAATAATATCTTATAAAACTGCAGTGCCCATTGGAATCTTCCTACAAAATTCAATTGTGATGAACAAATGAATCACTGTTCTTTCAAGAGACTTTGATATGTACATAAAGGCCCAATTGTTAAACAGGCAATACAATCACTGTTCTTCAACATATGCTCTGTAACAATTCAATTTCAGAAGACAAATTTCAGCCAGGAAATCATACAACACTTGCATATTCAACTCAAGAATCCAACAGAACCGTTGTATATCAAAGATCAAACATGTCTAAATAAGCTATAAGCTAAGAACATAAAAGATGTAACAGGGAAAATTTACTCATACCCATCAGCTCCCCGATGCCGTTTCCTCCTTTTTCTTCCTCAGAACATAAACATCAGCCTCCTCATAGGCAAATTCTGGGTGCAAATCTTCATGTGGAATCTTTTCAATTTGAAAAGCCTTATCACACATTTCCCAGAACAGTTTATCCGCTTCCGGCGACCTCAATTGGTATCCCAACAGAACGACACCATTGTTCCCAATCAGCGCCTCCATGGTGGAAATGAGTGGGCCAACCGTTTCCTCAATGTAAACGACATCAGTAGCAATGACGAAATCAAACGGCGGATTAAGGGCGGCGATTTGAGCGGGGTTGTTCCAGTAAAGAACAGAGTGTTTTAGGGCTTTTTTGAGAATCGTCTTGTTCCGTTTAATGTTATGTTTGAGCGCCGGCATCACCGGAGATATATCGGTGAGAAGTATGTCGGTGAGACCTAGGAGGTAGAGGCCCATTCCGGCGACACCGCATCCACAGCCGATCTCGACGGCGCGTTTGCCTCGGAAATCGAGGAGAGAGGAGTAAGGGTTTTCTGTGGGGGTAATTGAGGCCCATCGATCGATGAATTTGACGAGGACAAGAGAACAGGGCCAGACGGAGGTGCCGACGTGCATTGAACCGTTGTCCTGCTGAAAGGAAAGGGCGGCGCCGCCCACCGGAAGGTCTATTACCGGAGAATCTGTGAACTTCATGTCGGAGTTGGAATCACTACCTCTACGCAGTGGAAGTTACACAGCCCTCTACTTGGTTTCTTCTGAAGATCATCGTATGAGGCCTTCGACCCTCAAGATTTGGGCTTTTGATTGTAAGGAGGATCTAGTCGGTTTCTGCAGATGGGCCACGGAGAAGAAGGATCCATCCAAAATAAATGGGAAGACTATTTTTCTCTGGACCGGTGACGGATCCACACCAGGTTCCTTATTCGTCAACTCACGACACTTTACATTCGTGAAGACAGGAGTAGCATCTTTTTAAGTTATGAAGTCTGATACTGATTTATAGCTTAGTCAACGTTATATTCGGTAAAGCTATATTTAGTAAAGCTATATATAATAAAGCTATATATGGTAAAGCTATATCCGGTAAAACTATATATGGTAAATAGCTATATATAGTAGATGGCTAAATCTGGTAACGCTATATATAGTAAACTATACCATATATATATATCTGGTCCGGTAGAGCTTTGAAGATGTACTTTCTATTCTATTCTATTCTCTGTACTCTCTTGTTGTACATACCTGAAGTCATCAATAGAAAAATCTTTTTAACCAGAGTTCTCCTTGCACTTTTCTCTATCCCATTCTTTGTGTTCATCTAGATGAAGCGTGTGCGTTGTTGTGCGATCCCAACAACTGGTATCAGAGCAAACGACTGGTATCGATCCCTAACAACTGGTATCAGAGCCAGGCGGAAGTTAGAGCCGAGCGGAAGTCAGAGTCAGGCGGAAATCAGAGCCAGGCGGAAGTTAGAGCCAGGCGGAAGTCAGAGCCAGGTTGAAGTCAGAGCCAGGCGGAAGTCAGAGCAAGGCAAAATTCACCACGATCTGTGAAGATGGAAAGTTCAAAGATTGGAATTGAGAAGTTCGATGGATCCGATTTCGGTTTCTGGAAGATGCAGATTGAAGATTATCTATACCAGAAAGATCTTCACGAACCTCTGTTGGGGGTGAAGCCGGATACCATGACCACGAAACAATGGAAGCTCAAGGATCGACAAGCCTTAAGGATGATCCGGTTGACGCTATCCAGAAACGTGGCGTTTAACATCATCAAGGAGAAGACAACGTCAGATCTGATGAAGGCGCTGTCGAATATGTACGAAAAACCATCGGCTATGAACAAGGTGTATTTGATGCGGAGATTGTTATGAGTCCTTGTGAGAACTACGTTACGAGCAAACAGAAACGAGTTAGCTTCACAAAGACTGCTAGAGAATTGAAGGAAAGTACCGGAAGCAGCGTCGCTGAAACTCCAGAGGGGGTTGCGTCGCCTGGAATCGTCGCTGAAACTTCAGAGGAAGTTGCGTCGGCCGGAAGCGTCGCTGAAACTCCGGAGGGGGTTGCGTCGCTGAAACTCCGGAGGGGGTTGCGTCGCTGAAACTCTAGAGGGGGTTGGGTCGGTCGGAAGCGTCGCTAAAACTCCAGAGGGAGTTGCGTCGTCCGGAAGCGTCGCTGAAGCTCCAGAGGGGGTTGCGTCGTCCGGAAGCGTCGCTGAAGCTCTAGAGGGGGTTGCGTCGTCCGAAAGCGTCGTTGAAGCTCTAGAGGGGGTTGCGTCGGGCGGAAGCGTCGCTGAAACTCCAGAGGGGGTTGTGTCGACCGGAAGCGTCGCTGAAACTCCAGAGGAGGTTGCGTCGGCTGGAGACGTCGCTGAAACTCCAGAGGAGGTTGCATGGGCCTGAGACTCTTGCTAAAACACCAGAGGTGAAGCAAGTGGGAGTTGAGGTTGAGTTGCTCAAAGATTCACAGAGTGATATTGTAGCGGATACTCATGAAACTCCTGAGACTCTTGCTAAGAAACCAGAGGTGAAGCAAGTGGGAGTTGATGTTGAGTTGCTCAAAGATTCACAGAGTAATGTTGTAGCGGATACTCAAGAAACTCTTGAGACTCTTGCTGAGAAATCAGAGGTGAAGCAAGTGGGAGTTGAGGTTGAGTTGCTAAAAGATTCACATAATGATGTAGTAGATACTCAAGAAACTCCTGAGACTCATGTTGTTGGCGAGGAACCCAGTCTATCATTCAAAACACAGAAGGCGATACCATTTCACTCGGAGGTTTGTTGAAGATGGTGATGTATTTTGAGAAGATAGAGGGTGCATAGAATTCAGCAAACATGTTGACAAAATGTGTTGATGTTGGAATGTTGAGGTTGTGCAAAATCTCAATTGGTATGGTGCAGTGGATGCTCATGGTCGTTTGAGAGTGAAATTCTTCGTTGACTAAATCAGTCTCCAAGTGGGAGAATTGTTAGGTTATGAAGCCTGATACTTATTTATAGCTTGGTCAACGGTTATATCCGGTAAAGCTATATTTAGTAAAGCTATATATAGTAAAGCTATTTATGGTAAAGCTATATCCGGTAAAGCTATATATGGTAAATAGCTATATATAGTAGATGGCTAAATCTGGTAAAGTTATATATAGTAAACTATACTATATATATATATCTGGTCCGGTAGAGCTTTGAAGATGTACTTTCTATTCTATTCTCTGTACTCTCTCTTGTTGTACATACCTGAAGTCATCAATAGAAAAATATTTTTAGCCAGAGTTCTCCTTGCACTTTTTTCTATCCCATTCTTTGTGTTCATCTAGATGAAGCGTGTGCGTTGTTGTGCGATCCCAACAACTGGTATCAGAGCAAACGACTGGTATCGATCCCTAACATATCTTGCAGCCTTGGGAACAATAGTAGCTTCGTCTTGTTATGTGCTATAAAATTTCGGTATCTAGACTAATCCTGACTGCCTCTACAATGATCTCAAATATGAATCTTACACAATAAATAGAATTTTGAAAAATATATAGGTTCAAAAATTCGAATCTCTAACTTTTTGGCTTGTGTGTATATGTCAATTACCACCGAGTTTTGTTCTTGACGATGTGTAACAGCTCAACCCACTGCTTTTTGGTCATTCTCATTCAGCCTAGGTTGGAATAGGTTAAACATTCTAGTATGGAGCCTAGTCTTGACTCTTTTATGTCGTATTCATTATCGTTCAACTCTTGGAATCATATCCAACCGTGATTGGAACACGTTAAACATTCTATTATGGAACATGCTCGTTGAGCTCTTGGAATCACATTCCACTGTGGTTGGAACAGCTCGTAAAATCCAACCATTTCACCTACTTTATTGCCTCGAACTCTCTCATTATAAAGATTAAATAGTTCTTAACTACATAATTTTTCGTAACACATTTAATATCACAGCATGGGAGAAAAACGAAATTTTTGATAAAAATAAGAAAAAAAATCAAAAGAGTTAGCTTTTTTTTTTTTTTTTTTTTTTTTTATTTTTTAG